ACGCTAAAATAGTAGTATTTCGTCCAGATTACGTTACGTGAGACCAAAGTCCGTTATTTATAACCCTAAATGAGCATCCCCGATCTTTTCTCATGGGATATAGGCTAAAATGAAGGCAGCTTTAAAAGTTGTTGGGCCGCCTAACTTTGAGAGTGCTAAGTCAGAAATCTGTATGGACGATGATGTCCAAATAAATAAATTGTGCTGAAATGCGCAAAGATGAAAGAACGTCACTTAAGTGTTAAAAAAGTACAGTTATGGAGCAACCGCCATGCTGTAACTAAAAGGTAGTTATTGCTCGTTGGTCATGAATTAAGGTACTATTAGCACTTTGGACTAAATTACAGTGTTTTAAAGCTAATAAAACTGGATACTCTTACCATCATCTGGCTTGGATAACTTAAGGAAATTGTTTGTAATATCCTCTGCAATTTTTTCACGATTTTCTTTTGATTCTTTAGAACCTGAGTGCAGTAAATATACAACAATAAATGACGGGAAGTCAGCAACATTTACATGTGAAAAAATGTCATTTTTATTTATCTTATTTATTTAATAAATTAATGCAAACTATATATGCTAGGGTTACCCAGCACTTTGATCTACCAAACTGCGAAAATCGAACAAGTTTTATCACCGGAATAGAGACACTGATTTAACAGTTATTGGACAAAGTTGAGCAAAATGTAGTGATTTTTCAGGGGCGAGCAGATCAATTGTTTGCCGAGGCTGAGGGCTGGGGTAAATAATTGATCTGTGAGATACTAAGTTCAGTAATTGCGTTATCATTCGATCACCATATTTGTTTTCATATATTTAAATCACTCTCTGACACTCCAGGGAAGCAATCAGCTATTTTTCACTCAAGAGCGTAATTACAAATACGCATGAACAGAATGTTGTTTGCAGCAAAACACTTTTAGACGGTACTACGCATGAGCAGACCATTATTTGTCGACGGTTATTTGTAGGTCACGTGGTAGGCTCTCGACCAATTAAAAGAAAAAGACTGTATCGAACAAGAGACTATGGACTCTTGCATCGCATGACAATTTGTTTTCTCCATTGTAAATACAATATGGCTTGACGAAGACAATGCAGGAATATTTAAACTAATCGTGCAAAATCAAAGTGTGGAGCTCGTGTGTATCTTTCGCCTTCCAACTTGATGTACATTTCTTTTGACAGGTAGATGTTGTTTACAGTCTGTGC